GTGGCACCCAATTTAAAATTCATAACCTGGATGACGGCGGCGCGCAGCCTGCCGGGGCTGGTGTAATTTAGACCCAGGAAATATTTGCAGTGTTTTCAATTCCCCTGATATCTCGGGGCGGGGAGGAGGGGAATGGACAGAGGGATGGAGAGAGGGAGGGATGGAGGAGGGGATGGAGAGATGGAGGGAATGGAGAAATGGAGGGAATGGAGGGAATAGACAGATGGAGGCAATGTAGAGATGGAGGGAATGGAGAAGTGGAGGGATGGAGGGGAATGGAGAAATGGAGGGATGGGGGGGGAATGGAGAAATGGAGGGATGAGGGAAGAGAGAAATAAAGGGGTGGAGGGAATGGAGAGATGGAGGGATGGAGGGATGGAGGGGGAATGGAGAGATGGAGGGATGAGGGAACAGAGAAATAAAGGGGTGGAGGGAAGAGGGAATGGAGAAATGGAGGGAATGGAGGGAATAGACAGATGGAGGCAATGTAGAGATGGAGGGAATGGAGAAGTGGAGGGATGGAGGGGAATGGAGAAATGGAGGGATGGGGGGGGAATGGAGAAATGGAGGGATGAGGGAAGAGAGAAATAAAGGGGTGGAGGGAATGGAGAGATGGAGGGATGGAGGGATGGAGGGGGAATGGAGAGATGGAGGGATGAGGGAAGGGAGAAATAAAGGGGTGGAGGGAATGGAGAGATGGAGGGATGGAGGTCAATAAGGGATGGAGGGCTGGAAAGGTGGAAGGAGGGGTGGATGGAGGGGTGGATGGAGGGATGGAAGAATGACAGCCAGATGTTTGCAGTGGCTTTCTCCCCAGCAGGGCAGTGGCAGGCTGGAGATCCCAGCGCAGACCCCTCTCCCCCCCGCGGCCGGCTCAGGCCCTGCCGACAGCTCCCGGGGCGCAGCGGGGACAGTCGCTCCAGCCCCAGCACCCCGGGGTGCTGTGGGCACCCAGGGAAGGGTGCTGCACCCAGGTGCCACTGGGGTTCACCTGCCCAGGCCACGGCTGGTGGTGGCACCTGCAACCGGGGGACACCCCGTTAATTCCCCCCCCCCCC